TTTCATAGCTGGAATGCCTCCCTACTTCACTCATTATGTTGGGTACAAAGTCAGTTATAGCTGGGGTGAGGCACATGGCTAAAAACTGGTAGCTGCAAATCCTCCTGAGCAGGGTTCAATGTTGGACGGACTAAGGACTCCAAATTTGTTCAATTGGGCTGAAATTTGGATATGTTATAGTAAACACCCATTGGAACAACTTTCATGAAGATCTTCACCTCATCCGAGCCCCAGAGCATGCTGATCCAAGGCCAAGAAGTTGACCTACGAAACTGGGCTAGCAAGGGTTTGTAGCCAAAATTAGTTTGTCTTTAAGCTCTTCTTCCATTCACCCAAATCAGGCCTTAACATGCATGGATTGCATCATTTCCTATCCAAAGCCATCATTGTTACCTAAAGCTCAATGAACTGAAAGATAAACACAAAAATGATTAAAAGCACAAGTTTAACTCAAAAACATAACCAAATCATAAGCTATAAGGGTACAAAAAGATATACAATTATGAACCGATCAGGGGACTGGGTTTGGGTCTCATGAATTTTATTTTTTTCTCTTTTTCTTCAATTTTTTCTAATTTTGTATTCATTTTAACCCTGTTTTTATTTGTTAATTATGAAAAGTCATATTTACCCTAAAATTTGGTTAAATCTAATAAAAAATTAGACGGTGGGACTAATGGACCGAATAATATAGAGTTGATGGACCATTTGAACGAATAATTTAGTTTAGGGACCAAAATGTAAATCGGGTACAAATTTGAGGACCATTTGAGTAATTAACCCTAAACATATATAATCCCGGTTCAGTTTTCGGCCCCATTTTGACTTTTTTAGTCAACGAAGTTCTTATTTTATTTTTTTCGAACTTGGTTTGACTTGGTTTTCTCATCTTTCGGTTCTAATGTCCACCCATATTTGGTTATAGTAAAAACAATTAAAGAAAATAAAATTTAATCAAATCTCTAAAATAAAAAATAAACCTAGCACACACATACACACACTCCATATCTCCCTTCCCTACAAGCACACTTCCTGTTAGCCATGACTGCTGATAGGGGTGGGCGATTCGGTCCAGTTTGATTTTTACCTCACATAAAAAACGATACTATTCAACCAGTGTGGTTTGGTCCAATCTCTAAATCTTTAGATTGTGTTGTCGAGGAATCTTGAATTCTTGATCTTCTTTGCTGCACTTGCCCTCACCTGATCTTGACTTGTAGTAATGTAATTATGTAACAGTAAACACACACCATAATGATTCATTCTAACTCATGCTTACCCATTTGTTTTCTTTTTTGGTCAAAGCTCACTCAATTCTTTTCTTTTTTGGTCAAAGCTTAACCCAATTCTCAGTTGCATAATGTGATGGGAAGAGTTTGACTTAAAAGAAAAGTTGTGGGCAACATGGTCTAGTCCAGTGGAAAAATGTATTGACTTGCACAATAGTGATCTCAAGTTTGAACAATCATGACATTTTTGATAGTGTGTGTGACAAACTCTCATCCCCGTGTAGACTATCGCTTGCATTACAAAAAAAAAAAGAGGTGTGATGGGAGGAGTTACATTAAGAAAACCGAGAAGATACAACTTTGACCAACAAAAATACAAGAGAGGGCATAATACAATAATTGGATGAAAGTGAGATTGTTTATGATCACACATGGCTATTTATCTCACATTTACAACAATAGTTTAATTCCCCATTGCCCTTTACAAAGGTTGGTTTTGTTTTTGGCTTAAAAGAAATGCTAATTTAGGTATTAGGTTAAGAAAGCTCAAGGTTTTCATTTCCTCTCAATCCACCTAACGAAATAAGCAATTTTAGGGATTAGTTTCAAATAAAATCACAAACCTAAGAATCACAGTATCACATTATACTGCTTGCACGACACAAATTTTGATAAGCAAGTTTGATGTTGAGTTAGCCCAACTACAATTGTGTGGCTAGCACAACCTTAGATGAGATTTTATCTCTTAATTGTTGAATCAAATTAGTTAGCCATTGAATCAAATTAGTTAGTTTGATCAAACAAAAGAGATAGGACCTCATTTAATGACCTTAAATAAAGCCCTCACTATGAAATGACTCGTACTTATTAGATAAGGCCTGTCCACGTTTTATACACAAACCCACATTTGGTTTTGAGTTTAACTCATATTAGGTGTTTGCCCAAATAGAGTTTGGGTATATTTTTGGGCCGGTGCAGTGATCGAATTATTGGGTGCATATAACAGCCCCTTACTATATGTTTTTAAGCCCAAGGGCTAACCGCACCGCCCTAGTAGTTCTTGCCCAGAACCTTCTACTCTGTCTAAACAGCGCAAACACAAAAACATGCCTGAAATGTGAAGACGCACTCTCAGAAAGAAAGAAGAACTGAGAAACAAAGATGTTCAAGAAGGCAGTGGAAGCAAGGTCACACCAGAGACTGTCAGGGGCTGATAGGAAGAAGCTTAAGAGAAGCCTCAAAAACAAATTTCCCAGAGCTTCTGAGTCCGATATCGATTCTTTACTCCCTCCCAAGGTCGTCTTTCAATTCATGATTTTGTATGTTGTTTCTCCATTAATTGGGTAATGGGATTGCTTGGCATTTCTCATTTCGAAATGGGTTCAGTAGGTGTCTGGGTTTTTGTGCTTCCTCGAGTTTTAGTGCTGCCTTGATGTATATATCTTGTTACTTTCGAAAAATTTGAATACTTCCAATGATTGGTAAATGAATTTGGGGTTTGTTTTTTAAGCGTAGTTGAAAGCGGGGTTAAGGTTTTTGTTTAATCTTAAACACTTATGATGAGTTTGGATAATCTATTATTCCTGTTCGGATTAGTAGGATTTATTTATTTATCCCATGTAGTAGTGTAGCATTTTAAATAGGAGCCATTTCCCGTGTTTACCAGAATTTTAGTATTGGCCTAATCCTATTCTAGTTTTGGATTTTAAAATTTTCACTAAATGCACTTTGGTATGCATTTCGATTTTCAAAATTAGCCTACCCTATTCTAGTTGTGGGTTTACTAGACTTCTTTTTCCATTGTTTTGGTTGTCATTTGTACTGGTGCCCTGAGTTCAAATTACTGCATTCTTACTAAAATTTTGCAACTAGTTATTGCGAATTGCAGTGAGTGATTGTACTAATAACCAGAATGCAATTATTCTTAAGTTAGTGAGTTGATAATGAAACATCCAGTACGAATTACAAAAGAAATAATTGGGGGGAAGTTTTGATATTAGATTTATTTTGGATAAAATATTATTCAATATTGACAACTGCACATTTTTATGAAATTAATCTTCTAGGTGGAGATAGCAGTTGCAAAGTTTCAAAATCGAGTCCATGTATATGGTGTAGAGGGAGGCTTTCCTATCTTCTTTGATATTGATGGGCGTGGCACAGACATTTTTCCCACAGGTATCACGCCATCGTTTTCAAATATTCTTTCCTTAACGTGTAGTTTGGTTTCTAGCCTGAATATATTTTTCTAGTATGTGCCACACTTGACTAGGTAGTTCTTTTGAATGAGGTTGATGCTAGCATGACACCAAGAAGTATGAAGACAATAATTTTAACTTTCTGTTTGAGAGGAGTATGTGTATCAAAGACACTACTTTGATTGCTATGATAATTCTCGAAAGAGAGCCTAATCAAACAAATAATGTCTACTAATATATATA